CATTGATATGAACACTAAGAGGCGAATGTTTCTAAATATATATTGCATATTGAAAAATATTTTCAATATTTTATCAATCTGCAGGGTGGTGGGTACATAAGATCCAAATACTATACTGTTATCAAAACTTCAAAAGTAGAACAAAACATAGGCTCCAAATTAATTTACACAATTAAGTAATTTGATTGGTTCAAAAATGTCACATGGTATGTCGTCTACTACGTCCGCACGTCTGACCTTCACTTGACCTGATCAAAAGTTAATTTGCGCCAAAATTTTACAACAACTTCTGGAGCCTATCACGTGACTTATATTGCTTATATAAACAACACACAATTAAGAGACAGAGAGCCGAGGAAAAAAACAGCCGAAAAAACTACACGCTACGTGACAGCACTCATCATAAAATAACTTTCAACTAAAGTCCAGACTATAAGTTAAAAATCCTTTTTTTAACATAACCACCTTCTGTTTCTTTCATTCAATACAAGCTAAACTCACGTGGCAAACAATGAAGCGACAGACACTCATACGTCAAACACAGCGTAAGTCACACTCAGACACGCTTTTTCCACAAAGATTGAACTGTTTATTTTGGACACAAACAATTCTACATCGAACTGAAATTTTCCACATTATCATAAATTATCCTACCACTTGCAGTCTATCAAACTGGAACGTTACCTCATACAAAATCTAAAGAGACAAGTTTATTTGACTATTTTAAACAAAATTCTTAACTATCGTTTGTACATTTGTTATATAAAAATCTATTCATTTGTACGATTTCTCTTGTCTGAATTTTCTTGTTTCATCTTGTTATTATTTTGTGGCACTGTGTCTAATATAAATTGGTGAAAGCAACTGAACGCCACAGAGGTGTGTTTTTTTTGTTTTTGTTTTTTCAATATGTATTTGACAGAATACCCGGGAAAGTACAATGGACATGCCAAGTTCAAATTCTGGCCTCGTTCACTTATACACGAATAGCAATGGGAAAGGCATAAATGAATCACTTATCCCCCCATCTACGGGTTAAATAGCAAGGTATTCTATAGGGATAGGACGTCTGTGGATATAAAAACGGTAAAAATTACGACGAGTAACCACTCCGTTGTCGTTTCCAAGAAATTGTGACAGTTCATAGATTATAAAGTAACGGAATATGTGACTACGCCCTGAAGGACAATGGAATTAAAACAAAATTCCAATCAGAAAATATAAGAACACGAGAGAGAAAATTGCATAGTGATTCTTCCATAGTTTCTAGAGTAAACTATAGAATTTATCTATCCAAATTGTATTGTAACCAGAAATGCAATAAAACCAATGTTTACAGTTGTCTGAACAGCTGTTAGAAGAATATCACATCTCTCCTCAAAATAAAGGTAGCCGTTTTTTTCCAGTCGTGCTCTCATGGATTTATGAAATAAATATAGTCTCCTGACTAAATACACTGACGTGCCAAAAGTTACAGGAACCATACAGGAAGACCTCGTACAGGAACACCCCGCTAAAGTGTAGCAACTGGACGTGCCAGCGATCGATTCCGCAAATGATCAGAAGACTTCGCTACTTGTCTAGAAATCTTTGATATTTGCAGGGGCAGAATTTGTGGAACCGACTGCCAAGAGGATTTTGCCCGATCTCTACACTCTTAAGTTGTTAAAGTTGAGGATTAAACATTACCTTCCTCTGCTATCCGCATAAAACTCCTCTTAAAATAACCCTCTACCTGGAGTGGCACCGAGCCTTGTACAGGACGAACCTCACCGTAACAAAAATAAATAAATAAATAAATAAATACTCGGCACGCCGATTCCAAATCCAGTGCTGATAACCGCTACGTAACACACATCCACAGTAGTAATCGTTTCCAAGTAATCTCGCTAAGCGTTACGACACACGAGAACAGATACAGCAAATGATAACATTCTGAATATTAGCAGAGTCATGAAGTGGTTTTAGTGATACTGAAATTTCAATCTAGTATCTTTGAAGGATTCTTAATAATAGCCTAAATCTAGGTTTTGTGTAGTGATTCCAAATCAGTTATATGTGATATGACAATAAAATTATGACTGTATCGTCGCAGTTTTGAATGTGTAAATTTTGTTTGTAAAATAATTTTAAATAGACACTGTAGTCATAAAGCTTCTTTGCACGCCTAAGATTAAATTGTCTTTGAAAGAATTAGAAGACTGATAAATCTCGAGATAAAAGCCTTTTTTTTTTTAAAATTTCGAATGAAAATTGAATTACGGACTTCATATATGAGGTTTAATGTTTTACTACATATTTCGAAAAGCTTGTTTCAAACAACATCAAATTACAATTCCGAAAAAATCTCTCTCTCTCTCTCTCTCGACACCAACGCACACACACACACACACACACACACACACACACACACACACACATATATATATATATATATATATATATATATATATATATATATATATATATCCTTGATGATTATTATTAGAGATAATTCCGAGGAGGATATAGACGTCTGAAGTCTACGAAATAAATTATCTCCTGATCAAATTGATTTTTAAGGATTCTGTATTTGTTATATATATATATATATATATATATATATATATATATATAAAGAGAGAGAGAGATCTTTGATATTTGCGGGGGCATAATTTGTGGAACCGACTGCCAAGAGGATTTTCCCTGATCTCTAAACTCTGAAGTTGTTCAAGTTGAGGGTTAACCATTATCTTCCTCTGCTATCCGCATAAACTTCCTCTTAATATAACACTCTACCTGGAGTGGCCCCGAGCCTTGTACAAGACGAACCTCATTATGACAAAAATAAATAAATAAATAAATACTCGGTACACCGATTCCAAATCCAATATAAGGATATATAAAGAAAAGGAACCGCCAAAATAGATATATATTTTCATGCATATATCTGTTTTAAATTTAAAATGCATGTGTATTTCACCTTGAATTTATTTTCGGTCTGCTTGCGGGAATTCCTGTCGATGTTCTATGAATATAGAATTGTATGATCTCAGCTCGTTCAAGTACCGACGTTTATATGCGTAATTATTATAAATAAATAAATTATGTTTAAATATGACTAATTTAATGACTATTAATATTCCTAAAATATTTATAATCGAATTATATTTCCAAAATGTACTTTACGGTACTGAAAAGAACAAAAATTAGCACATATTGTTTCAATTAATATATAAATGGCAATCATGCTGTCGACCATGCGTTTCAAACAAACGGGCTGGTACGATTATTTTTCACCCGGAACATACTTATTATAAACCACCCCTTTTTATTATTTGAAATGAAGCTAACTATCCTAAAATGCTCGCAACCTAAATAAAAGGGCAGGAGGGTATTTCCTGAATAAAAATGGTGGTTGAATTAACGATGTCTCGGGTGGAATTTTCTCTAAAATTGCGTAATCATATCGGCTCGTTTAACTGAATGTTAAATGTCTACCTATTTGTATATAACTGGAAATCGTTCGGTCGACCAATGATGAACGGCCTAGTTGCCTCCTAATGCGTTCGATCTCTCCGATGTTATCTTATCATTTTTTTTTAATCGGTATCACCCTATGAAAGGCAATAAAGCCACTAAGATACAATGAGCTACACGGTGTGGAAGAATTAGGAACAGAAACATTAATAATGAGCAGAAAGAGAAAAGAATAATCAGGAGGACAGTAGATAGCAATTGACATTGCATTTAAAGTTTTGCGGATTAAAGTGGCCTGGAAAACATTGAGTTAGAAGGAAGTGCCACAACCGAGAAGTGCGAGAAAAGAAACTGTTAGCATACAACTTACGGCTACATCAAACCAGCCCACGACGCCAGTCTAGCACTGCGCTTAAATTTAAAAAAAAAAAGTCTTGGTACCATAGCGAAGAGCTCATCCGAACAATTACGAATGAAAATATTTATAGAAAAGGCAAGAGAGGCAACCTTATTGCGGTAGGAAAGTGACTGAAGACGAGCGGCCAGATCAGGATCAATATTATTGCTTATTCTTCTTTGGGTTTTATTAAAATTCTCAAGGTAAATAGTAGGGCACTGGATCGTATGGGCAGCAATATTCTAAGCATGGATGAATGGTAGACTTATAGATATATAAGATAGATTCTGGAGAGAAAAACTGTCTCGCACGATATATATGAACCAACTTTCTTAGCAGGTGACTTAGCAATGGATTCAATATAGCCTTTCCATTTCATACATTATTTACATTATTCGGACTATTGTCCTCATCTTTGTCACCACATTTATTACAGCGTTTCGACCGTTGTACGCTCCGGCCTTCTTCAGGTGGTTGGAATGTCGAACCATGCCTTTATCCACAGTGGATAAAGGCGTTGGTTAGATCCAGTGACAGGACCCAAAGAGTGTGAGTCTAATACCCGGTTAAGGCAGTGGAGAACTTTCAAAGGGAAATTAGCAGGAGATAACTGATAACTGACATCCATCAAACATGGCGCGTGGAACTAGAACAGTCTACACCAGTGAGCGAAATAAAGGGTTCAGTTCGAAATTCCAACCACTTGAAGAAGGCCGGAGCGTACAACGGCCGAAACGTTGTAATAAATATGGCGACAAAAATGAGGACAATAGTCCGAATAATGTAAATAATGTACATAATACCTCATCTCAGAAATATAGACAGACTTTCCATTTCATGTCAGATAAGAAATTTATGCACATAGACGTGCCAGACTAAACTATCTGATTATATACTTATCTACCCTTTGCATGTTATTTAAAGCCAGAATATACTTTTAGATTTTAAAATATTTTTGAGATAATAAAGATTTAATGATACAAGTCTTACTAATTAACCCATATCTGGGGAGAAGAGGTAGATTCATACGTTTCACAAAGGTATTTCTGTGTAAGTGAGTTAATGAACCCAATGGGAATTGGAACACTGCTCTCCAATTAACAATGTCAGAACCATTATCTATTACACCACTCGCTCATGTAAGCCTACAGCACCTGGTATTTACAAGGGGTCCCCCATCTAGGTATTGACCAGGCTCGAAGTTGCTTAACTTCGGTGGTCGTACAGGAGTCAGTATTGGAAAGTGATATAGCCGTGAGTTTTATATATATACATACAATCTGCCTTGGAATCTCATTACTTCCACCTCGCACCTGATACATCGGCATGGCTGACAGTATACGTCTAGCTTCAACCGCTTCAGTGTTAATCACGTGATTGTCCAAGCTATTAACACGTGACATGAAGAACTAACAATAAATGTTCGAATCTCTTGAGGAAATTCATCAAAGCAAAATCTCAGGTGAGATCTTAATAGCGGTTACAGATCGTCAAGAACCATGAAACACTTTCCTGCGTCTTACGGACGCACAAGCATGCAGACGCAAAGAAACACTCGCTCATGCCCAATTCAAATACGCCCACATACTTACGCCCACTTGGATTAGGTCCATTCAAAATTATTTGCACGACGTTCTGGAAATCTATGAAGTGTTTTCTTTTTTAATACTAATAATTCACCCAATACAAGGCCCAAAAGCCACTGAAGGTAGAGGCTTACCGTGTGTTATTGTACAAGCGTAAGAATGGGTAAGAAGTAAATTTCATGGGTCTATGCAGGAAAAATGACGGTTAACCCTAGATTTGGAGAAGCTGTTCGAATGAAACTTCTTTCTGTAGGAATAGAAATGGGATGGAAATGGTTCGCCTCTTGTGAACGTGGCACGATGGATCTCAATTGTAAATGTCAGGGGTGTCGGGTCATGTAGCTCGCCAGAACATATGCCATAGAGGTAGCGATGGAACATCGTAAGGATCGCAACATTTCGTCTGTGGAAAATTGGATTTCTTTGAAGTTCAATGCGTTATTTCTTTCTTCTGCAAACTCTCAACTTCATGAGGTCGTTTATTAGCCCTAGATAAAATGCAAGGAACACCGAGAACTCTAACTGTCCATCTTTCATGCTAGATATTTATTGGTGATTTAAAAAAACAAATGGCTTCTTCCGAGAATCTAAAAGGAAGAAAATCGTGTCTGGACACCAGACAGCCTTGAAAATGTAATTTTACAAACGTATTGAAGAATTTTCCTCTCTGTTTTTGTTGGAACTCAAAGGAAGTCCTTTATTATTAGGATGATTTGGAACCTAGACAAATTGAGTGTGTCTTTGCATTTCAAAAAGACGGTTTGTTGCCACTTTTTTTTTTAAAGCGTTTCACCCCAAGCAAGGCGGGAAGCCACTAGGACGCAAGGGGTTACAGAAGAGTTGGAGCAAGATCAAATAGGAGTGAAAGAAGAAAGGATGAGGAGAAGGATAGGGGATAGATCAAGGCAACTGGAGATGTCGATTGACATTACATTTGAATAGTTGGAGATTATAGCTCTCAGGGAAACTGTAATAGGGAAGGGAGTTCCACAGGCGAGAGGTCTTGGAGTAAAATCCACCGGAGACATCCTTATTATAATCGATCTTTAATAATGGACCGATATTTAAAATATTCAAACGAAACGATTTCCTGTTAACCAAATTAATGGGCAGGGGGATATTTTCTGGATTCTTAATGAAAGGGTTGGTTAAAATACGAATGTCTCGAGTGGATTGTTCTCTAAAAATTCGTAATCGTTTTCGTCTGTCTATTTGAATCTCAGAGGTATAAAAAATATTTGAGCAATTGGCTCATTTGAACAACGCATTGAAAGCAGTCGATTGCTTATTAAGCTAAGGACGAAAGAAATTGTAATGGTCAAGTTTGGCGGGACTAAGGAATGTATCTCATCGGAGCAAATGACATGGAAATAGCGATAGACCTGCGAAAACCCCGGTCCACATTTCTCCCATGTCTTTAGAATAGGAATATAGGTTTATTATTTGTTCCCTGTTTAGGACTGCATTTCCGGTTCCATCTAAATTCTCCTCTTTCTCTTTCACTCCCAGTAGTCCCTTGCATCTTTGTGGCATTATCGCCTTGATTGGGGTGAATTAATTTTAAAAATATATTCAAACGAAACAATTTATTCTAGAATAGTCGCTGCCTAAATTAGAGAGCGAGAGGTATTTTCTGAATTCTTAATAAAAGTGTTGTTTCGAATAAAAATGTTTCAAGTGGGATTTTCTCAAAAAATGTGCAGTCGTCTTGACCCTTCTATTTCTATCTCAACAGTGTAGAAAATAACATTGAGCAATTGGCTCATTTGAACAACGCACTGAAAGCAGTCGATTGGTTGTTATAGTGAAACACATTAGCGGATATCCAACACAACAAGGGGCCATGAATCTAAGGCGGAAATTTATGACCAAAATTCTGGCTTCAAAATATATTAGGAGTATCAACACTAATTACATTCGGACTATAGTCCTCATCTTTGAGTATAGAGAGAAGAAAATTCTCCAACAACATTCAGAAACATTCAGTAGAGTTTTCAAATCTCCACATACAATATGTAGGCACTGGATAAGCTTCAAAGATATATGGAAGTTCTCAACAGATTGTTTTACATCCCAGTAATAATCTTATCTTCAAAAAGTCCTGGCCGTGTCATATTCGACTTAATCTAGTAAATGATAGAAAACAACAATGAACACACCTCTTTTCTACTTTTAGTTGACTGAAGGTATTCCAGGGCGGTATTTATGAAAAAGATACATGGCCCACTTACCAAAAGTGCAGGTCACTGTCACATATTAGAAGCAAAACAATGCAATATGTGTCTGTCTTTATACTGAATGGAAAACCTTCGTCGGGATCACAACTATCCTTTCTTTCTTTAATCATTCGGCTTTACTAGTGGTGTAATAGATAACGTCTCGGTTTGGTTTGGTTTGTTTTACGGCTTATCAACCTCAATGGGTTATTTAAAGCCGACAAAATTTTTATTGCTGGTTATATTTTGTTTTGTCAAAAATCTATTTCTGCTAATATTTTTCCTTCAAAAATGTATGGCTGGTAATATTATTTTTTTCAAAAATGTATTGCTAGTAATATTTATTTTTTAAAAACATTTTTCGTAATATTTTTTTTCAAAAATGTATAGCTGGTAATTTTTTTTTCTGAAAAAATTTATTGCTGGTAATAAATTTTTAATAATTTTTTAAAGTATTTCTGGATTTAAAACCAATTTTAACACTTTCATAATGTTTTTACCCCAGTTGCGGTGTTAACTATTTCCCCATATCTGGAATCCTAACAGGTGCTACCACCCCGGGTCAGGGCGAACCTGGGAACACCAGCAGTTAAGAGGTAGTTACACGCTCCTCAAAACCTCCTGATAAGAGGCCTTGCTGCTGGACGTAGTTTATCGTCATATCCAGGACGGATAACGTCTCAGAATGCGATCTCGGACAGATGAGTTCGAATTACAGTTAAATTTATATTTACTTACTTTATACGATTAGAAAAATATATGAATCCATCTCTACTTCTCTTCAAGAATGTGTTAAATAATAGGATTTGTATCTGAAAAATAAACATAGTTATTCACTCAGTGGTAAGGCAATATTCACTCGACAAAAAAAGGTAATTATTCTTACAACCTAAAATAGGTTTCAGCTTTAAATAAACTACAAAGTGTTTGCAAGTCGTAAAAAATAAATCGATTAAACGTATACTTATAACGAAATACATTCATCTTTCAAACAACTATTTACAGCCTCGTTATTAACACGATAAGAAAAGTTATTAGATAGATAGAAAGAAAAATCGAGAAGTATAAGCAGTCAGTTGATACTCATGACGAGTGGATGGAAGGAATCCCAGAGGGCCCGTCTACAAAATTCTGATGCTGAACAATCAACTAATGTAACATTTTTTTTAATATATTAATGATAGACAGTGTTATATACCGTACCTATGAACACTAATGAACACGTCCCAATCCTCATAAATACATTGGGCACTATCGTAAGGGGGTGGGTAATATGCTATCTAAGTAGTCCACCACTAGCATAAGGTTATCTACATCACGCCACTCGCGAGTATTTTATTTTGATGTTATAAAGATTACCATTTCATTTCCAACATCCGTTTTGGTTATTCCTCATTCAGTAACCGTTTCTAGGTTACAACAGATAGATAGATAGATAGATAGATAGATAGATAGATAGATAGATAGATAGATAGATAGAATCATGTGCGGCGGTGTAATGGAGAGGGATTTAAAGTAAGAAACTTGAGAGCCGAGTTCGAATTCGGGCAAATATCCTTCACGTCTACACCAACACTCATATATGTCGCATCCGTCGGTCTCAAGAGGTCATGAGTCTGCGCTCAAAGAGTTATGGCGGCATCGGCACACACTCGAGTGACAGTTTCGATTGAAACCAATACATGTGAAGACATTCTCCCTCGATGTTGCCGTATTGTTTTCTTTCCGTCGAGAACATTTCTTCCTGGCTGTGAGCTTTCGTTTCTCTTCTCCTCGCTCCAGCTCTTGCTGTAAATCGTGTCTCGATTCTCACTTTTCGACGTCCATGTCCATCGCCCTCAAGTTCCATTTGCAGAGTTATTTGAAGGGAAGATGATGTCACCCTCATGTTTTCTTGTCGTTGGTCAGTTACCCGGACAGAAGGACCTTCGGAATCCTCCCACTAGGTGTTCATGACCAAACCAGCGCTGTTGAAAAAGGGCACATAAGCAGGGTAACTGAGGTGAGAAGTACGGCATCGGTGAGCCCGCCGGTCTAATTGATATATAGAATGCGTTTCAGACAGCGAAGATGAGAGGCACTGACAAAACTTGATAAACCAAAACAAATGAAATATGTTTTAAGATCTTCTTGAACGCATTCATTTGTTGTTCTTGCTCCTTAATAATGTATTTCTTATATTTTTCAAATGTATTAACCCCTGCGTCTTAGTGGCTTTATTACCTTGCTTAGAGAGAAATGATAAAAAAAACCTGTCTTTTCATGTATTTCTTCTTCCCTCCTATTTATAAGACTACTTAAGCATATATATATATATATATATATATATATAAAAAAATCAGTAGTATCCTTAAGAATACTACCACAGATCTTAGTGAGATTTATCACTCTGACTAGCGATGACCCAATTAAACTGAAACTATATATATATATATCATAAGTTTGAAACAATG